ACTCGCGCTGCGATCAGCGGCAGCTGGATGCAATCATCGCATGCCAATGTGCATTGGCTCGTTTAGTTTACACTTAAAGTACATTGGTCTCTCGAAGTGCGATCCCAATTTGTCAGTCACCGACGTGACGTCTCTGTTCCCTCCTTCAGGGAACGAGGGTTACAAACGTAACCGAGACGTTTTCTTCCAGAATTTACAAACTCCTCAAAACAGTTTAGTGCCCGATTTAGAACAAAGCAAATTAGTGATGTACCAACTGATCGGCCTCCAGTCTTTATCGGCTGACGTTTACACTAATCCTTTAGTCCTGCTTAAATTCAGGGACAATTTTTATTCATTTATTTTTTAAATTGCAGCAAGCACACATACAATACTACTTTAATGAATGAACACTGGATCAAATTAATCTTTGTTAATTTTTGTTGTTTTTTCATGTTAGTTCACAGTGCGTAATGTTAAGAGATACAACTTTTTATTTGAAAAATGCTGTAGAAGTATTGTTCTTCATTAATTAATGTTAACTAATGTAGTTAACTAAGGAAAACCTTACTGTATGTAGCTGGGAACAGCAGACTTAAACACATTTACCCCTTTGAGCTAAAGGGTGACATTGATATTGAAGAACCGGTCTTAAAATTGATGTCAAGTGAATGCACCTGGAATAGAACTGATGTTTCATAACTGCTGTTCAAGAGAATTTCAAGTGTGACTTTCAAATGACAAATTACAGTCAGGCAAAAGATCCAAATCCTCCAAAACCTTAGATGATTTTCATAGATCTGATTCATTGCTCTTTCTCTCTCTGTCTTCAGTCTGTGTGGATGCCATATTACAGAGAAACAGTGTTTCATCCTGACTTTAGCTCTGAAATCAAACCCATCACACCTGAGAGAACTGGACCTGAGTGGAAATAAAATAGAAAACAAAGGAGTGAAGCACTTATGTGATCTACTGATTGATTTCCGCTGTAAAATGGAGAGACTGAGGTCAGTAGCATTCACATACAAGAAACAAAATGCTTAAAATCACCTTGACAGTTTTTAAACAAAGACACTTTATACTCAGTATCTTGTAAAGAGCATTTTGTGAGAGAGTATTTTGTGATCTGGTGAAATAAAGATGATCCCTCTTCATTTGTCTTTACAGAATGTTTTATTTTCTGCTTTTTCCCAATGAAGGTTAAGAGGCTGTGATATGACAGATGAAGGATGTTCTGCCCTGACTTCAGCTCTGAAATCAAACCCATCACACCTGAGAGAGCTGGACCTGAGTGAGAATAAACTAGGAGACTCTGGATTTGAAAACATTAGCAATCTACTGATGAACCCACAATGCAAGCTGGAAATACTAGCGTTAGTATCATTATACTGTACAGCAGTTTGATTGAAAGTCACTTTTTAATCAAACAGGCCCAGTTTACAGTATTTAAACCCTAGCACTGCATCTGTAATTCAACTGTATTTTTGTCACCTTTAATAATAGGTGTCTAAATAGGATTTAATTAAATAACATTTTATTTAATTTAATTTAAAGTATTTTATAAAATGTACTGGTTGTGTACATGTTCTGCAGAAATATTATGAGATTCACATTTGCTGCAACAATGAATAAGAGACAAAAAAATTATGTCTGTAGTTTTGAAAAAAAAAAAATTTAATAGAAAGAAAACTGCAGGTTCTGGCATTAAAAACGTATAAATCTATTAACAACTCAACTATACAGACTATATGGAAGGCTATATGTGACCCTGGGCCACAAAACCAGTCATACGGGTCAATTTTTCGAAAATTAGATTTATACATCATCTGAAAGCTGAAGAAATAAGCTTTCTGTTGATGTATGGTTTGTTAGGATAGGACCATATTTGGCATATTTGGAGATACAACTATTTGAAAATCTGGAATCTGAGGGTGCAAAAAGAATCAAAATATTGATAAAATCGCATTTAAAGTTGTCCAAATGAAGTTCTTAGCAATGCATATTACAAATCAAAAATTAGGTTTTGATATATTTACGGTAGGAAATTTACAAAATATCTTCATGGAACATGATCTTTACTTAAAGTGCTAATGATTTTTGGCATAAAAGAAAAATCAATAATTTTGACCCATACAATGTATTTTTGGCTATTGCTACAAATATACCCCAGCGACTTAAGACTTTTGTGGTTAAGTTTTGGGGTCCAGGGTCACATATGTCTACTGTTGCTGTTTTCATAAGACAGTCGTCAAGAATCTGAACCATTGACCTTTCTGTTTCTGTCTTCAGTCTGTGTAAATGCAGTATTAAAGAGAAGCAGTGTGTCTTCCTGACTTCAGCTCTGAAATCAAACCCATCACACCTGAGAGAACTGGACCTCAGTGGAAATGTACTTAAACACACAAGAGTGAATAAATTTTATGATATACTGAAGGATTCACGATTTAAACTGGAAGGATTGAGGTGAGGAACATTCACGTACAACAAAGAAATTTGTGTTTTGGTATTTTAAGGAAACAAAATGAAAAGGTTATCTAATTTCTCTGAATGCAGGTTAAGGTACTGTGCTATAAAAGCTGAAGATTGTTCAACTCTGACTTCAGCTCTGAAATCAATGTCATCACACCTGAGAGAGCTGGCCTTGAGTGGGAATGAAATAGGCCAGTTGGGAGCAACAAACCTCAGTGATCTACTGATGAACCCACAATGCAAGCTGGAGAAACTAGAGTTAGTAACATTGTACTGTACAGCAGTTACAGTGTGATTAAAGTTTATTATGCTGTTAGCTGATGGACTGATGATTCAGTATGTGTGACAGTAGAAAAATAAAAACAAATTACTCCAAAAACTCCAGGATTTGACATTTTTGGCTGTAAAATTTTCATATGTTGAAGTTTGAAAAATCTTATCTGCAAAAAAAAAAAAAAGAAAAGAAGAATAGACAAAAAACTGACGTAGCATGAATGACAGTAAATTATTTTGACAGTTACATGGCTTTTACAGGACTAATAGTACTTTTCACTAAATCAGTTTTTATTAAGCAAAATTTGTATGGTTTCTTGGTTTATGGTCATCTAATTAGGTTTTCAGGTTTTTGGTGGTGTATTAGTGACAGTATGGTGTTTATTCATGATGCATTTAACTCACATGTGAACTTAACTTGGTCTTTTCTCTTGTCTTCAGTTTGTGTAGATGCAGTATTACAGAGAAACAGTGTCTCATCCTGACTTCAGCTCTGAAATCAAACCCATCACACCTGAGAGAGCTGAACATCAGTGTGAATCAACTAGGAGACTCTGGAGTTGAAAACCTTGGTGTTCTGTTGGGCAGTTCACAATGCAAACTGGATAAACTACAGTTAGTATCATTACACAGTACAAAAACTTGCATGACAATAGATTATTCTGACAGAGTTAAATGGCTTCCGTAACACTGATGGTGCTTTTCGTGAAATCTAAGAGGTAGTGAAATGCATGTTTCTGGAGGTTTGCTTATGAAACAGACTACTGTGATTTATAATAGCAACAGTAACAAACTACACTGGCATGCAGTAAATTTAACTTGACTTCGCTTTCTTCACTTAACCCATTTAATCCCAAATTTTTTCCAGACATGAAAATATCCAGATGATGGTTAGTATTTTTTAGGGGTGGGGTAAGGGGGATAATTTTCATTGCATGATTTAGAAACACCCAGCAGTTTGAAAACACCCACAAAGTCAGAAATGCCCACTTTTGCTCTGCAGAGACCTAAATCTCGATTCACTGTATGACAACGATCGTGTGTGTTTCGGGTTTATTCTAACATCCTCAATTCCAATAATGCTCTTTTACTGTAGTCGCAATGTTATATTGAGTCACGTTTATCATAAAACACTGATAAAAGCATATTTACCCCCACTTTGGAATTTAAAGAGTATATGTTTGTTGAACTTTATTCTTGAACAGATGGCGCTGTATTAAGCAGTATATAAAAAGTGTTTCTGTTGCTCATGATAACGGTTCTGAAACGTCTGTGTATTTGTCAAATATTGCATTTAATTCACTTCATCTACGTTAGGATATGCAAACACTGTGTGAGCGTCACACCCGGGAGCAGAAAGTGTCTGACTTGACGTGTCCATTTTCAACTCCGCCCCTGACTGCTCTTGGCTAATCTTGTTGACCGCCATCTATAGCCTGTAGTTGAACACACTTATCATCTTCTCATGGTGCAAACAGGAAATAAACTACTCTGGTCATGTGATAATTTGCACTAACCATGTGAAAATGCACATATTTAATTGAGACCCTTTATTTCTTTCCATATTTGCAGGAAATGCACTAAAACATCAGTCAGTAAAATTTTTAGAGCTTTATAAATGAAAACCTTCTTTACAGTCACTATTGTGACCGGTGTTAAATATACTTATATTCCATTTAAATAGGAAAGAACAGTAAACTACACTTAAATGACTTTAAATTGAAATTGTGATTTTCTCACAGTAAGAATGTGAAAATAGTAAATTGAAATGTTTCAATCAGTTCTACAGTTCACAAATTTGTACATCTACATTTATAATTCACAAAAAAAATTTGACTGAGTGATAATTGTCCAAACTTGGGTTGAATCTAGTATCCTCAAATCCTAGCTAGGAATTTGTTTATGGTTCTGTAATTAGGTTTTCATGTTTTGCTGCTGTATTAGTGTGCTATATGACATTTAGTTATGATGCATTTTACTCACACAAACTTAACATGGATATGATTTATTGTCTTTTCTCTTTCTGTCTTCAGTCTGTGTGGATGCAGAATTACAGAGAAACATTGTTTCATCCTGACTTCAGATCTGTGTTCAAACCTTTCACACCTGAGAGAGCTGGACCTCAGTGGGAATAAAATAGAAAACAAAGGAGTGCAGATCCTGTGTGACATACTGAATAATTCACACTGTAAACTAGAGAGATTGAGGTCAGTGACACTCACATACAAAAAAGAAAATGCTTAAAATCATTTCAACATTGCAATTTAACAAACACTTTTACTCAATATCTCATAATGAGTCTGGGTTCACATTATAAGGGCGCTACGGAGGCCACATCCTACCCGAAAGGAGGTGACATGTGGAGACACTAATATGGACTGACCCAGGGGCAGTACTACATAAGGAATAAGCCTCTGAGGCAGGTCCTACCTAGGAGTAGGGAGGAGCGGCTGCCAGCAGAGCCTGACAGAGTGCTCTGTCAAAGGGAAGACACGGTTTTACCGAGAGGGCAACCTTACCGTGGAAGAATACACATATGGGATTGCCCGATGGGAATCAAGCCTTATGGACACCTAGCCCAGTACAGGGGCTGACCGGAGACCTGGGCAAGCTATCACCAGTACTGGGCCTGGCGTCAGACTGCTCTGCCCAGTCTGACTGACAGGGGTGCTGGAGGAACTCCACCAGGGTTTGCCGTCCGGGGAACTTTACTAGAGGAGGAAAAAGGCGCTCGCATCCCTGGTTGAGGGGGAATGGCACAGCAAGCGTGACACCGGCCAGCTCTTCCCGCCACTTACCTGTTACCCAACACACGTGAAGAAACTGGCTCAATGCGGAGCCTGTGAATCTCGTGAAGATGTTCGGTGTCGCCCAGCCCGCATCTCTACAGATGTCTGCCAGAGAGGCGTCATGCGCCAACGCCTAGGAGGAGGCAACACTCCGTGTGCAGTGAGCCCTCACACCCAGGGGGCACAGCTCGCCTTGGGATTGGTACATCAAGCCAATGGCATCCACTATCCAGTGAGCCCACCTCTGCTTGGAGACATCCTTCCCTTTCTGCTGACCGCCGTAGCAGACAAAGAGCTGCTCAGAGCTTCTGAAGCTCCAGGTGCGGTCCACATATATGCGCAACGCTCTTACAGGACACAGCAACGCCAAGGCTGGATCTGCCTCCTCTGAGGGTAGTGCTTACAGGTTCACCACCTGACCATGAAAAGCTGTGGTGGAAACCTTGGGCACGTATCCAGGCCAGGGTCTCAGGACAACGTGAGAGTAGGCCGGCCCAAACACAAGGCACTCTTCACTCACCGAAAATGCTTGGAGGTCCCCGACCCTCTTGATGGATGAGAGTGCGGTCAGGAGTGCTGTCTTCTAGTAGACAGGAGCACTGTCTTCTAGCAGACAGGAATTTAAGCTCGATTAAATCCAGCGGTTCAAAGGAACCCCTCTGCAGTCCAGCCAGGACAATAGAGAGATCCCAGGAGGGCACCAGGGGTGGCCTAGGAGGATGTAACCTCCAGGCACCCCTCAGGAACCTCATGACGAGATTGTGCTTTCCCAGGGACCGGCCGTCCACTGCATCGTGATGTGCTGCGATAGCAGCCACATACGCTTTCAAGGTGGAGGGTGACAGCCAGGGCTTAATTTGTGCCGGAACAAGCCAGATCTGGATCCGGCACCTCCGAAATCCGATCCGGCACCTCATTTTGGCGGATCCCCCTCCTCATGCGCCATTGAAAGACGTTCGTGCTGACCTATAGCGTGCATATGATATATATTTCATGAAAAATCTTCTATTATGAGCGCGCTAGCCGTACATTTGAAATAACAAACTTGAGTGCGCAAAAGACGCGACATGTGAACGGCCCCTTAGGCTGCTTTCACAAGACCGAATGCACGGATACACATGCGTTTTCGTTCTCAACTGTTTACATTTAAGACAAAACCAACTGCTTACGAGGATACTCACCAGTACGGCCATTTTTACGTCATTTTGTGTGTATTTGGCTGCTTAAGCTCAACAAACTACGAAAAATAACTCAATATGACACTCGCGAGGTGGCTTTACGCGTGCACTTTGGACATGCCTGTGAGCACACAGAATACAGTCTCTGGAGCGCGCGAGTACCGACTGGCTTAAAAATACTTTAAAAAGATGTGCAAATGATACATTTTTGTGACAATGCAACAATGACCTGATTAGGCAATTGACAGTTCTGTCAATTGTCCCGAAATGTGAGCGAAAGTCTTGGATGCGACGGTGAGAGAGTGAAAGAGACAAGACGTGGTACAGCTTAATCACTCATGCGGTTTTCAAATGACTGATTTAATCTAATAATTTGTGTGGATTTATTTACTCATTTAACCTACTATATTGAATAAATGTTTGCAGGAATTTCCCTCATTATAAACTTGAAAGCTGCGGAAATGAGTAAAACTATAGGCTACACATGCACAATTCCCCACCGAAATTCAGGACCTGATTAAATATAACTCTATTATACATAGATATGTTAAATAAAATACCATGACGTTTCCAAAACTTTTCCAGGCATGTAAATTGCTGGTTTAAAAATTCATGGCTTTTCCAGGTTTTCCATGACCGTATGAACCCTGATAAAAGAAACTGATGCACGCTGTTAATCACTTAAATTGGTCCACCAAGTGATTGCGCGAATGCTCCGTTACCTCTCCCTCCTCTAAACACATGCCGGATCCGTTACCCTGCTTTGTTCCGGGACCTTGCAATTTACAAATTAAGCACTGGTGACAGCCTACGCTTCAACCTCTCTTGCAGGAAAGAAAGCACTTCTCCAATCGTGCATCTTCGAGGGTCTTCTTGGTGATAAGAACACCAGATCGCGAACAGACTCCACTCCAAGGCATAAGCTCGCCTCGTAGAGAGGGCTTTGGCCTGAGTGATAGTGTCTTCCACCGCTGGTGGACAAAACACCCAAGTCTGCCGCGTCTCGTCCAGGAGCCACACATGGAGGTTCCAAGATCTGGATGCGGGTGCCACATGGTGCCGGGCCCCTGAGAAAGGAGGTCCGTCCTCAGAGGAATGCACCAGGTGGGGCTGTCACAAGGAGCATGAGTTCCGAAAACCAGGTCTGGGTGGGCCAATACGGCACAACCAGCAAGACCTGTCCCTCGTCCTCGCTGACCTTGGAGGACTTATGGGAGGCAACCAGGTTTACCTGAGCTTCCCCGAATCGACTCCAGAACAGTCGGACCATCTCAGGATGGAGTCGCCATTCTCCGGGGAACGTGAGCTGTTGTGAGAGCACTTTGGCTGTGGACGGCATGCAGTGACTTGCACCGCGTCTAACTCCAGAGGAGGAGATGGCAGGCGAGTTGTGACATGCGACGTGATCGTAGACAACCCTGCCAGTTGATGTACGAAACAGTTGCAGTGTTGGCCATGCGGACCAACACGTGCTAGCCAAGCAGCAGCAGCCGCACCGCTGCAAGGATAGTAGCACTGCCAGCAACTCGAGGCAGTTGATGTGCCAAAGTAGTCGAGGCCCTGTCCAGAACCCAGAGGCTGCCTGTCCATTGCATGTAGTGCACCAGCCCGCACTGGAGGCATCCATCGTTACAACAACATGCCCCCCGACCCGTAGAAAGACAAGGTCAATCCAGGAGCTGAATGAGCGGCCACGTGTTGGCGTGATGGTCATGCGAACTGTACCACGGCGCCATGCCCATCTCGGGACTCGGGAGTGTAACCAGTGCTGAAGTGGTCTCATATGAAGCAATCCGAGCTGCGAGACTGCAGAATGTCTCGAGGACGCCGCTGAACCTGGGGGGGAGGGGGTTGCCTGGTGAACTGAATGGCTTTGCCGAGTCAGACTGTCCAAATGAGCCAGCGGGACAGGTTGGGCAGCGTGAGCCACGCCCTCAAACTCCGTGCGAGTGGCACCAAAGGGACAACAGACATACCCGCAGTGGTGCAGCAGTGGGAAGTCGTGCTAGACGGCCCAGAAACCACCACGTTCTGGCTCGTCACGTCAGGGCTCCCCATGTCCCCAAAGGGACCAACCGGAGATGCGTGGGAAGGCATTGCGTCCCCGAACCGCAATCTCTTGGCCGCTGGCAATAGGGGACGTCATGGGCGAGAGTGAGGAGGCAGTGCGTCGCTCACTGTTAACCCACGAGCCTGATGGGCCGGAGGAAAAGGAAAATGCTCTTTCTTTGAGAATGTGGTTACCGCTGGCCCTTGGGCCAGTACCGGAACAGAACAAATTAAACAAAAGATTCCTCACCCGGCCCTCCTCCAGGGAAGGAGTGGCGCTCTCCTTGCCATCTTCGGAAGAAAAGCAGTTCCTCGCATCTCTGGGCTGTCTGTGTTAGGGCCGCCTCGTCATTTTCCTGGAGGACGTAGGGGCTGGCTGACACAGGGGGGGAGGGCGCTGTGCTCCCGTGCAAGGCTCGACACGACCGGGCTCAACATGGTCTCAGCACGGGGTGCAGCAGCCGCAGGAGAGCGCCCTTGGTGACGGGTAGGCTGAGGTGTGGCCCGCAGCTGAATGACCGGTGGCAGGTGGAGGATGGCAGGTGGAGGATCACGCCGGGGCCGGATGTGCTGGATAGCCTCAGTCTGCCTTTGTACTGCCGAGAACTGCTGGGCGAAGTCCTCGACAGTGTTGTCGAATAGCCCAGCCTGGGAGATAGGAGCATCAAGAGAAGCGCACTTTGTTGACGTTACTCATCTCAACAAGGCTGAGCCATAGATGGCGCTCTAGGGTCACAAGCAGTTTCACCGAGCGCAGCTCCTGCATCAACCCTGGGTCGGTACTACCCTCGTGCATTTGTTTGAGTGCCTTGGCTCGGTGGACCTGCAGGATTGCCATGGCATGCAGGGCAGAGGTGGCTTGGCCCGCAGCACTGTAAGCTTTGGGGTGAGAGCCACCGTCAGCTTACAGGCTTTGGACGGGAGATGAGGACGATTCCTCCCAAGTGGCGGCGTTTTGCAGGCACAGGTGCACCGCACCACCTGGGGAATGTCAACGTACCCCCTAGCCACCCTGCCTTCAAGGGTACTGAGGATGAAAGAGGCGGACGAGTGGCTTCCGGATGAAAAAAGGGCCATCCACGACTTCATCAGCTCCTCATGCACTTCCAGGAAGAAAGGAACCGGGGCAGGGCGTGAACATAAAACTTACAAAACATAAAACATATACACAACGTTTTTCTTTGATCTTTTGTCTAAAGGTTAAAAACAATTTCCATTAAAAAAAAAAAAAGAAGAAGATTTTTCTGACTTTTTTCTGAAAAATTATATAACAAAAATCTTTAAACATAAGTGATTTTGAAAATACAATATAACAGTACACAAAATGGTTAAATTAATCAAATGTTTCAAACAGGTTAAAGTGCAAAAGTACACAGCTATATTGTTAAATAATATAAAATATATTTTCTGGCATGTTTTAGTGTGAATATGTTTAAGTAAAACTAAATGTTTGAAAATAAATGCTAAGTATTTAAGTATTTAGTGTTGTTCAATAAACACCATAGTGAATACAAAAAGCTGAATGGCTGTTTGAAAACATAAATACTGTTTGACTTCCTTTCTTCTCTGTGAAGAAACAGAAAGTGCAGTCAATTTTGTTTATGTGGGCTTTCGGGGAAACGGCTACTGTCAGAAAGTGAACTGCATTTTTATTCAGTCTGTCTCCTTCACTCACAGCGGTTGACTGACTGTCTGGGAGTGACACATGCATTGCTGAAGCAACAGTGAAAGTGCAAATGCGTAACTGTGCCCTCTGGGTGAAAGTAAAAATAATTTTTCTTCCTCTGTCTGTCTTTCTCTTTCTAGTCTAAATGACTGTGGCATTACAGATGTTGCTTGTTTGGCTCAGTCTTTGGCTGAAACAAAAGTACTGCTGTTTTTAAAAGAGCTTGATCTGAGTAACAATAAAATAGGAGACTCAAAGCAGCAGCTCATGGATGTGCTGCAAGACTCAAACTGTGAACTGAAGTGAGTAAACATCCCTTTATTGCAGTCACGCTAACACATTTACATTTAGTCATTTAGCAGACGCTTTTATCCAAAGCGACTTACAGAAGAGGACAATGGAAGCAATCAAAATCAACTAAAGAGCAATGATATACAAGTGCTATAACAAGTCTCAGTTAGCTTAACGCAGTACACGTAGCAAGGTTTTTTAAAAATAATATAATAAATAAAAAGAAAACCGATAAAAGAATAGAGCAAGCCAGTGTTAGAGGTATTTTTGCTTTTGTTAATTGTATAATAAATGAAAAGAAAACAGATAGAATACAAAAAGATTAAGCAAGTGTTAGTTTTTTTTTTAAAGAAAACAAGCAGTAAATGAATAGATAAAAGTCCGTAAAAGTGATTTTGTGCTTCTTTGGGATGGCACAATCAAGCGATGTTCACTTGCAGAACGCAAGCTTCTAGAGGGCACATAATTCTGAAGTAATTCACAAATTAGTAACACAAACAAACAAACATCATGTAAATTGTTTTAAATGTATTATATTTCAAACAAATATTGTTTTAAAATCTGTGTGTCGGATAGTTTAAAATCAGTAACTGAACTGATTACAGAAATGTAATCTTTGTTACAGTCTACTTTGTACTCAAAGTAATTGAAATATAGTAATTATTTCAAACTTGTTCCACTCAACACTGTTGTTCTCTTCTGATTCCTTTTTATAGCCTGGAGAAAGAACATTTGCTCAGCTGGAGAGCTGGTGTGAACTACATTGGTAGCTTTGGTGGGTGGTTAACATCCTGGTCTAAAGCTCAGGAGGATCCTGTGGAATCAACAGAACAAGAAAAGGTCACCGTTAGATGAGGAATTCTCAGAAGGTTCTCCATTTAGTACTGTAATAAATCAATATGTGTGGTGGTAATTTTGCTGAGATATTGCTAAACTGCAATTAAGAAATACAAAAATGCCAAACTTACAGCTACTACAACTTCAAATAGCTGCTTAACAAATCGCAAGTTTACTGGTGGAAAAGGCTCAGACCTTCAAATGAAATAATGCAGTATTAATAGAAGCATGTGAGTAATGTTAAATGTTTATTGTTAGTTTAGTATTCAGTTTAAGGTCTACATCATAATGATGGTGGCTGGGTTTATTTGAGAGATGAAGAAGTGTATCAGGACTGGATCAAACGCTTTGATGAGCTTGTTGGTTATCTAGGAGAGAAAGATTTGACCAGTGCTGCACCCTTAGACTTTCTGTCCCTCTTTCTGACTGATGACTTCTGGAACCTCATTACAAATGAAACCAACAGATATGCTCATCAGTTTCTAAACTCCCAACAGCTGAAACCCAATTCCAGATTTCATGAATATTTTCCTGAATATTACTGATGAACTGATCAAAAAGTATGCTACTGTTCACAATACTATATAGTATAGTAATATAGTAATAATTTTAGAAATAAAGAAATAAGTTTTATTCTTGGTTTCCTCTTTTCTGATTATTTGGAATGAGGATAAAAAGACAAAAAAAAAACATGCAAATAAGTTCAAACATCCATTCAATATCTATTATTTCCTGAATATTACTGATGAACTGATCAAAAAGTAGGCTACTGTTCACATGCGTTTTACTACTATATAGTATAGTAATATAGTAATAATTTGGTACTTTTTCCTGTTTTTTTGTTGGTTTCCTCTTTTCTGATCATTTGGAATGAGGATAAAAAGACAAAAAAAACATGCAAATAAGTTCAAACATCAATTCAATATCTTCAATATCTAATATTTCCTGAATATTATGAAATTCAAGATGGCCGCCCCCTGATGACGTCCTAATATGCTAATTAGATGAGTATATTTACACCCCACATAAACTTTCGGTCATGCCCAACATTTTTCTAATTTACATTAGATCTCTATCTTTAAGCCCTTTCAAGCCACAAGCTTTTGAAATCTTGATGTCAAAATCCAGCATTTTTCCAAAAAAAAACCTGGCGCCTAAAGGGTTAA